ATATCATGAATAATTAATAGCAATGATTACGCCTCAGAATACACCAGTCGTGGTAATTTTGCGTCAGACTTCAATTTAAGAAAAATTCAAAAGGGCTTTCGTGGTCTTTTTTAAAGAATGCTGTGCTGGATCTATATCTCTGACATGCCTAGATTGATCAATCAAACATACATTGTATCAGACATGCGTTTATCTGAATTTTGGATTAAAAATAATTGAATCATTTCATTTGTCATAAATTTGAATGAAACTGGTCAGTTATCTTTGAGAAACAGTTTTCATAACTGAAAATAGTGAGAAATAGATAATGTCCGAAAAACGTGTTAGTAGTAGCATATATGTCTCCATAGTGATGTTGTTATATCATTGCAACCGAAGAATGAAAGTGGGAAACACTATACATTTTTTATCATGCATGTATGCATGTATGTTTTTACCATACATGATAGAATCAAACATGAACACCGGATGCATGCATGCATGCATGCACAGTCCCTCAACACTGTGTTGAGGGACTGTGATGCATGCATGGTTATACATTTTGTACGAGTAAACTTCCTGGCATTGTACTTCAACAGTGTGAGGAAGGCAAAAGAATATGATACAGCAAATCTGCATTCCCGACGAATACTATGCTGTGAAATAAACACAATTCAAAGGAATTATCAATGCTGTATTGTTTTTTTTGTAAACATACGCAGGGCAAGTGATTATAAACAGCACTGATTAGCATAGCTACTAATAAACATGCACCTAGGGTGACTAAATTATGCATTTAAAGGGGAGTGGTCTTTAGGATGCTTGCATTTGTTATCTGCAAGAGACTTCAAACTGTTTTTATTTTGTGGAAGAATTTCAGGTGTATTTTTTTCACAATATTGAGTGTGACTTTCGGGAAATATTGTTTTCATGAATGCCATCCTGATGAATGAAATTCAACGTTTCACAGTATGTGGCTCAAAATGCATTATATATTTATAGAAAGTTTGAACACACATAGTTAAGATGATTATTGCCCTTCAACGCTGTCACTGCTCATTTTTATGTCATGCAATTGATTTTACTTTTTGACAGGTTTTGCTACACAGGCTGACATGGCAGAAAGTGTGGGTGTTACCATCTAATGAACAACAAGTCACATCACTTGCATGGAGACCTGATGGCAAAGGTAAAGGCGATGGTGTAATCAGATGGCTCCATATATTTTGAACCTGTTGAGTGAAGTTGAAATCTTGGTGGTGATTTTGCTCTAAATTTGTATCATTTCATATACTGTTGCAATTTTTCAATGAAAACTTTGGACCAGTGTACATTTCTCTTTGGTACTAAGACATGGAGTGTCAGCGACTTTGGTGAATTGTTTTATTACGAATGCATACAATTCTCAAATTGTGAAAATTTCCAATACAGTTTTACAGTACTAAATGTAGGAAAGTAGAGAAAAAATACTGGCATCGGGCGTTAAAATCTTCCTCTAAAGTCAACTCTGCAACTTTTATAAACGTCTAATTGTATTTTTTATTTTTCTATGCCAATTTTATAGGTATTCTTTGCATTGATTAATGTTTATCAACTTTTCAGTCTTAGCGGTCGGTTACGAAAATGGAGACGTGGTAATTTGTGATGTGGAAAATGC